ATCATAATCACGATTATTTGGGTCAATAATTGATATCACGATTACTAAAAACTATTATCCATTTAATTTGAAAACATCAATTTATTGGAAAGAAATATTTGAATAGTATGTTTTTAACAGTTGATTACCCTGAACTTTAAGTATAATTCAACTGAAAAACCAATACAAATAATAATTAAAAAAACAATTACATATTTATTTTTAAAATAAAATGTAATAATCATTTTATTTCGATTACGTTGTTTTCTTAAATCGTTGCAAGTCAAAATGAAATTAAATAATGTAAATGAAGACAAAATTAAATACGGTTTATTGCAGATTATAAAATGGACTTTTATTAATCCCTGTGGGAAAATTCAGTACAGCAACAGGGTAAGGGTGAAAAAACAGGACAGATTCACACAGAGTAATACAATCAAACATAAGTTCAAAGATTACAAATATAAATGATAATAATAATAAGACGAAATAAGAGATAATACAAAAAATGAAAATAAGAATATAAATACGCATATATTCGGTCATATGAAAATAAAAATAGACATATATACAAGTTGGGTCATATATACATATTATATATATATTAACATGGCTGTGTGGAAACAGTGTGAATTTATGTCCAGTGATTGGTTTACATACTTAAATGTAATGTCAGATTTGATAATAACTTTCATATCTCTCTTTAAGGAACTGGAGGCTAAAGAAAAGGCGATTGAGGAGGAGAGGCAGGCGCTGCGTCGGCAGATTATCGAAGAGGAGAGGCAGCGACTTCTTAAACGCCACGCAACAAAACTCCTTGGATACCTCCCGAAGGTATGATGCAGAGCATGAAGCATGAATAACACAGATTCATATCTCCTGTTGGTGGAACGAGTGTATGACCATGAGTGTGTCCTTGTTCAGGGCTTGCTCCGTGAAGACGACCTGAAGCACTTTGATGAAGACTTCAGAAAGAACTTTGAAAAGCGTCCGGCAGATCTCTCCTCTGAGGACGGCTGGGAGGACGATCAGTAGACGTTTGATCTGAACTTGCGTACCATGACACGAGATGGCCTTTTAGAGTTACCTTGGTAGCAATTGAGTGATTTCATCGTTCAGGATTCATGAAGGAACTTTATTAGCATTCAGTACAAAAACAAACGTCTTATTAGGGTTAGGGTTACAGGATCTGAATAAAAAGCTTTCCAGAAAAGGTGGTGGCTAGATGTGATCATTATCAGGAGACACATTTTGAAAGTGAAGACTCGGTCGTCAGCGTGTCTCTGTGTTTATGACTTCCCCCAGTCGAGAGCTTTCATGAACTCCTGTTCGGTGAATGACAGCAGCTTGGCAGCTTCAAAATGCATCTGCATCAAAAGAGTTACATTTAGATGAAACTGAGAACAGGGTGCCTATTGTTAACAGAGTGAGTTAGAGACACTTACCTTCTGTCTTTTGAGAATATCAATCAGCTTGAGCTGTTTCTTAAAACCCACAATGAGTTCTGCTTTCTGCTTTTTTAACATTTTGTTTTCAGCAAGGAGATGTTCTTTACTCTGATGTTCCTCGCTGATCTTGTCCTGGTCACATATTTAAAAACATGACATTAGTTAAGCACGGCAAACAAAGGTCTCAAACAATCAAAACATGTTGAATTTCAGTTGAAGCTGAAGAGCCTAATCAACTCTTTCCATCTCCAAATATCTTCCTCCATGTTGTCCCGCGTGCAGCTGATGAGATGCTTCACAGAAAACCCTCCTGGGGTCACGCATGCTTCACTTCTGTTCCATGGAGTTTATCAGTTGCATATCTCCCTGTTTTAACATTTATAGTATGATCTTTTACATACTTAAAAGGATGCATTATCGCTTTACTTTAAAGATGTTGAATCCGTTTTGATCTCAAGACGATCATAATTACATGCCTTTAAAAATATTAACATTTTCAAAAAGCTCTACAACAGGAATATATTCTTTATCTCGAAATAAAGATCAAGTTCTATGTAATTGTTATGAATATGTTCTTATTTTTGTATTTTTTTTTATCATTTCATATTTTATTTATGTGTGTATGAAAGTAGGTAAGAATGGAGAAACCAGCTCGAGTGCGCTAGAATTTGAAAGTACGCAGACGAAAAAAATCTGCCACTTCCTTCAGACTTCCTTACAGAGCCCCTCATCCAACACACAAGAACGCGCACATGACCAATGAGGGCACGAGATAAGTTTGTGTACAGATGGAAGGCTGACAGGCAGGTAGGCCATCCAGTTATTTTAGCCGGGCAGGCTCAGATGATTGGTCGTGCTTTTTACAGTACTACGGCTTCCACAGATGACATTTTTTATGTATTTTTTGTCAAAGCACTTCAGATATTCATTCCTATCGGGATGTTAAGAGCATTCCATGGAATATAACAACAAGTGTTTCTGAAGTGAATTACCTACCCCACCTTTACACACATACACAAGGTCAGCTTCACACATCACAAATTGTATAAGAATCCATTGTTAATTATTAAACAAATAATGTTTTCATGTTTTTCAAACAAACTAAATTGAACTCACCCCAAAAGCAGCTGATCTTTGGGGTCCTGGGACACGTAGACAAAGTCTCTGCAACGATGCAAATGAATTTGATCAGCACATATTAAAGAGTATCGTTGGGGAAATTAAGGTTACAAAAATGGAGAGCGTGCAGATACCTGAGGTAGGCTTTAGGCTTGTAGCCCATAGCCAGCGCTTTCTCTTCGGACATGACGAGCACAGCAGAGGCACCGTCAGTCTGAGGACACACACAAGTGCTTTGTTTAATGTCAGGGCAGTTTGTGAGCACAAAATAGTTGAAACAGAATCAGGGGAGATTAAAAAAAGTGTTGTCACTTGTTTCATTCACCAAAACAACACGCAGTTCAAATTCATGTGTTTGCAGTTGTATGTTTGTTTTGTACAAAGAGACAAATAAATCAAATCTAGAAGGTCATTGGGAGTGCTATAAGGCCTGGTGTGTGTGTGTGTGTGTGTGTGTGTGTGTGTGTGTGTGTGCGTGTGCGTGTGCGCGCGCGTGTGTGTGTGTGTGTGTGTGTGTGTGTGTGTGTGTGTGTGTGTGTTGTGGGTGGGTG